TTTTTTTTTCTGCCATATGTTCTTTTTATTTATATTTCTTATTTATTTCTTCTTTTTTTTTGTCTCATATTTTTTTTCTTTTTTTTTTCTCTCTCTCGTCATTCTTGCTTCTTTCTCTTTTTTTTTTCTGCATCATTTTCTTTTTATTTATCTTTCTTATTTATTTTTTCTTCTTTTTTGTCTCTTTTTTTTTTGTCTCTCCTTTCTCGTCTTTCTTATTTCTCTTTCTCTTCTCTCTCTTTCTTTTCTATTTCTTTTCTCTTTATCATTTTATTCATCTCTTTCTCATTATTTAAAAATACTAAATAAAATTACATGATTTTTTTTTGCGAAAAACATTATTATAGTGAATTTTCAATTGAATTAGTTGATAAATATTCACCTTCAGCATTACTAGTTAATAAATGAAGACTATAATTTTAAACATATTATTCAAACTCAAGTACATGAAAGAGAATATATTAATCCATAAGAGACTAATATAACTTTATGTATGTGAATAAATAGATTAGATGTTTAAGTTAACTTTTAATAGATCTAAATAAATTATTATATTGTTTTTATCTGATTCGTCTAAAAATTTATATCATTTGCCACACTCCTAGATAATTCACATGTCAATAACTGTATCTACTTACCTTCAAGCTCAGCAGGCTGGAGCCAATGGCACCCCCATAGCTTTTAAAATTAGGCATTTTTTCCTGCTTGTCGGCTAGTTCTTTAAAATAGCTTTCCCCTTGTTTCGACACAACTATTCCCTGAGGCATGAGAAGAAGTAGTCATACACATATACCTTCAATTGAATCCTTACAAATTAACAGCATGAAGAAGAACCATTCACAAAGCAACAATTTAACCAACTTACCCAGAACATCAAATTGCTACGAGCATTATCCACATCGCATCCAACAATGTGTATTCTTTCCTTCCCAGCTTCATCAATATGCTCCTCTCTTGCCCATTTTCCAAACGAATAATTCACCTGAGGAATGGGAAGAAGTGGCAATACACATCATACATGTTTAGATCACAAAGTC